CTCAGAGACGAGGCAGGGAGGGGTGACCAAGGCGCTGGTGCCAGAGGAGAGTCTGGTGGGACAGGAGACGACACGAGCAAGGAGCAGACTCAGGACCAGACCTGGACGCTGCAGCAAACACCTGACTCGACGCAGCTACCTGACCAGACTCAGTAACCGGAGGAGACTTAGTAATGAGTGTATACAGGCTCGACCCCGGCCGACGGGTAAACGTGGCCAAGTGTCGGCCTGTCCGAGCACACGTGCAGTGGGTCACTCGCTGACTCGCAGGAGTGAACTGGTCAACCCCTTGATCCTGTAGGTCCGCTCCACTCACCAAGTTCGTAGAGAACGAGGGGAGGTAGAGACCAGACAGGGTGCCAGAGGGGGCTGCAGGGCACGGAAGGACAATGGAGAAGCTAGCAAGGACAGGACCCCCAGAGGGGTCCGCAAGGGAGACTGCAACCGGCCGACTAAGCGGCGTAAGCGTGGTGCGGTCTCGAAAGAAGGAGCGGGAAGCACCCGAGTCAAGGATGAAGGTGTGAAAGGCCTGAGCCGACGTAATACCTGAGAGAGCAGACTCACTAGCACCTGGGGCAGCAGGCGCACTAGCAGTTAGAGCAGCAGCCTCACCAGCACCTAGAGCAGCAGCCTCAATGCCCGGGTCAGGTGGAACACACAGGTAATAGTCACCCTCCTCACTAGTAGACACAACATACATGGCAGCAAGAATAGCATCATAGTCAAGATAAAAGATGACAACCCCCGCCCTAGACAGATCTCCTTAGCGAGTGATCTCCGAGGCCTCAGGGAATTGGCGACGCCACGCGTCCGTCAGGCGGCCGAAGCAGCGCTGGGTGGAGTGCGGGCCCCTGCACTGCTCACCAGCGCGGTCGCCGGTACGGAGGACGTAAGTGCAGGGACCAAAACCCCCACCGCGCTGACGCGCAGTGTACCAGTCACGAAGCTGCTGAGGGGACAGGGTCACACCACTCCGCTGCTGCTGGCGCAGACCACCACCGGATGTACTCCTCTGCGCAGAGCCTCGACCAGCTCCGCCGCCGCCGCCACCTCCACCTCCTACGCCACCTCTATCGCCTCCGCCACCGCCGCCGCCTCCGCTCCCTCCGCCACCACCGCCGCCTCCTCCGCCTCCACTGCTGCCACCGCCGCCTCCACCCCCGCCACCACTCCCACCACCACCCCCACCCCCTCCATTGCCTCCACCACCACCTCCACCGCCCCCGCCAGCCCCTCCTGCTCCCTTACCCCCCTTGCCCTTGCCGGTGCGGCGTCTCCCGCTAGGGGCAGACGCAGCGCCGACCCCGTAGAAACCAACGAGGTCGGCAGCAGCAGCAGAAGGAATAGAGGGCAAGAGGGGGGAGGGGGAACACCCCTCAAAGACGGGGGTGCGAGGGTCACCACAAGAGGCTCCTACAACGACTATGCTCTTCTCTGCTGCTATGAGGCGCTCCTCAAGGAGGTCAACGGTGAGTGTGGTGGGGCAAACTGAGAGGAAGTGGTCCCTCACTAAGCGAAGGGAGTCAGGGAGCCGGGTGACTATGTAGTAGAGGGTGATGTACATGGGGGGGGGGGGTTCTAGGCGCAGAACTCAGCAGGAAGCGCAGCGCGGTAGCGAGTGTCATTAGTGCAAAGGTGCGTAATGAGATCAGCGATTGTGGGAAAGGCAGCAAGGTCAGGGAACAAGTACGGTAGCATGAGGCGGCTAAGCGCAGTAGTGGCAGGGGAGGAGTAGCGTGCAACTACAGCGTCGTACAGGGTCTGAGCACTCTTGTACTGGCTAAAGTGCGCACGCTCAGTGGTCGGTAAGTGGCAACGCACAGCAAGACGGGCAGCAGCATTGCGTGTGGCCCACTGTGAGCGAACAGTGCTGTCAGCAGTAGCAGGCGGGGCAGGGGAGGCACCAGAGGTGAGATCGAACAGGGAGAGTCCGTCCGCCCTATCGCACTGTAGGAACAGCTGGAGGTCATCGACGCAGACCTCAAAATCAACAGCACCACCCTCAGTATCAAAGGTAAGAACATTGGGGGTAGCCATGACTGCAGTGGCCTAACTGGGAGTGATCTCACCAGTCCAAGTAAGTAGTGCCGGGGCGCGCCGGTAGGAACAGTAGTGGCTCGACGGCAGGGCGGCTCGGCGGCTCGGCTGCTCGGCGACTCGGCGGCTCGGCTGCTGGGCGGCTCGGCTGTTGGGCGGTTCGGCTGTCGGGCGGCTCGGCTGTCAGGCGGCTCGGCGGCTCGGATGCTGGGCGGCTCGGCGGCTTGGCTGCTAGGCGGCTCGGCGGGTCGGTTGCTGGGCGGCTCGGCTGCTCGGCGGCTCGGCTGCTGGGCGGCTCGGCTGTCGGGCGGCTCGGCAGCTCGGCTGCTCGGCGGCTGAAGGGTCTGCTAGGGGCGGCGACGAGGGCGCGTAGGGAGGGGAGCGGTGACGGGGCCGCAAGGGGCGGCGAGGGGGGGCGCGTAGGTAGGGAGGCGGCGGCGAGGCCGCTGAGGGCGGCGATGGGGCCGCTAGGGGCGGCGACGGGGCCGCATAGGGGTGGCGACAGGGCCACGTAGGGGCGGCGACAGGGCCGCGTTGGTAGGGAGGCGGCGACGGGGCCGCGTAGGTAGGGAGGCGGCGACGGGGCCGCTAGGGGCGGCGACGGGGCCGCTAGGGGCGGCGACGGGGCTGCTAGAGGCGGCGACGGGGCCGCGTAGGGGCGGCGACGGGGCCGCGTAGGGGCGGCGACGGGGCCGCGTAGGTAGGGAGGCGGCGGCGGGGCCGCTAGGGGCGGCGACAGGGCCGCGTAGGGGCGGCGACGGGGCCGCTTAGGGGCGGCGACGGGGCCGCGTAGGTGGAGAGGCGGCGACGGGGCCGCGTAGGGGGCGGCGACGGGGCCGCGTATGGGGCGGCGACGAGGCCGCTAGGGGCGGCTACGGGGCCGCGTAGGGGCGGTGACGGGGCCGCTAGGGGCCGCGAGGGGCGGCAGGGGGGGCCGTGGGAGGGGCCTCTAAGGGACCTCGACGGAAGGGCGGCCCACGGGGCGCGCCTCGGGCAGCAGCGACTGGCGCTCTGGTCAGAAAAAAAAATTTCAGTGGTAGGCCCAAGGAAACGTTCCCACTAGGGAACCTGTTCTATACCATGTGAAAGAATGAGGAATGAATAAACTAGCACAAGGTTGGGTAAAAGTAGGAAACCCTAGGAAACTATACCCCATAGGGTCTACCCCACTATAGCCTAGACAAGCTACGGTATATATAATGAGTTTGACAAATACCACTTCCCGTAAATACACCGACCTTCTCCGGCGGGAACTCGTCTTGGCAGCTGGGCAACTAGTGCTACTTGACACGAAGAACCTGCACCTGCCCGGCCCATCGAAACTCCGGCCACGATTTTGTGGGCCTTTCAAGATCATCAAGATGGTGACACCTGTCACCGCGAAGCTGCTGCTACCTGACGATTGGCGTATACATGACGCTTTCCATGTCAGCCTCCTTCGCAAGTTCATGCCTGCCACAACAGACATCGCGCGCCAGAACGCCGCCCCGACAGCCCGACCTGTCCCCGAAACGACACTTGACCCGTCAAAGATTTTGGCGCATCGTGTTCGGCTCGATGCTTCTAGACGCCACGTGGATTTTCTAATCCGCTGGACTGACCGCACTAGTGAGGACGACACTTGGGTGCCATCCGCCTCGCTTGAAGCTTCTCCGCTTCTTGGTGATTACCTCGCCCGCAAGCGAGCTGCGGATATTGACCACCTTTCTTAAAGGGGGGGGGGGGGGGGTAGTGTAAGGAAAAACCCTTTTTCCTTAGGGGTTCACTCAACCGCGTACAACCTCAACTTTCGGAAGTGCATGTCCGGTCGCTTTGCTTGCTGCCGAAGCAACCTCGCGTCGCCTTCGACCTTTCCTTTGCCCAACCTGCACCCAACCTCGTGTTCCCGAGGTTCCCGCCTAGCTAGGTTGGCCCACTATATTAGCGCGTGCCTTCATTGTATTGTCAGTTCATTGAGTCACATCTTCGTTATTCGTTATTCCGCGCACTCTCTTTCACAATTTATAACAAGATTCGACGTTTACGTCGTAAGGGTTGCGTAGGGTATATTTCTCGTATATGAAACATACATATAATGTATCATACTTCTGGAAATCGATTATCAGGTCGTATTTACTTAGAAGAATAGTAATTATATATGTGTATATATATATTTGTACGCATAAAAATGCTTTGAGTATTTCCAGGGAACAATTCGGAGAGTGGTGATTTTTTTTGCGATTATTAATAGGCAATTTTCTACCTTCATCTACTTTATTGCGCTTTCTTATTATATTGCACTATCAAGTTAGTATGGTGAATCATTTCTTGTCTCTACAATGTGACAACTTGTATCTGAACAAAACATATCCACTCTTCTAACGAGTAGAATTTGTATTCTTCCTTTGCACACCTGTCCAACCGAATTCGACGCTCCTCTCTTCTTCATTCTTGGTTCTTGATTCTTGTTTCCTTGTTCTTGGTTCTTGCTCTTCTTTGGTTCCTGCCGTCGCACCTACCTACCATGTTAGCTTTTCTGTTCTCCTAACACCCCGCCGTCGCCTCTCCTCCCATCCCACTGTGTCCTCTCCCTCACTCCCCGCCATCTCCTCTGCCTGCCTCTCAGCCGCCGTCGCCGCTCCTTCCTATCCTGCATCGCCTCTGCCTCCCACCCCGTCATAGCCTCTCCCTTCCTCCTCTCCGTCGCCTCTCCCTCCCTTCCCGCCGTCGCCTCTGGTGGGTACACGAGCGTGAGCGCGGGTTTCTGCCCGACCGCGCGTTGTTTTCTGAGGCACCGTTGTCTCAGGTGCGTTTACGTTTTCCGGACCTATTTTCCTCCCTCCTCCCTCCGAGAATTCCTGTTTTCTACTTTCTTCGGAAGTTTTCTATGCCAATTGGTTTCCTTTTAGCATTGCGTTCCCATTGGTTTCCTCATTAGCCTTGCGCGCTGGCGCCTTGCGCGCTGGCGCCTTGCGCGCTGGCGCTTAACGCGCAGGCGCATTGCGCGCTGGCGCCTTGCGCGCTGGCGCCTTGCGCGCTGGCGCCTTGCGCGCTGGCGCCTTGGGCGCTGGCGCCTTGCGCGCTGGCGCCTTGGGCGCTGGCGCCTTGCGCGCTGGCGCCTTGCGCGCTGGCGCCTTGGGCGCTGGCGCCTTGGGCGCTGGCGCCTTGCGCGCTGGCGCCTTGCGCGCTCGCGCCTTGCGCGCTGGCGCCTTGCGCGCTGGCGCCTTGCGCGCTGGCGCCTTGCGCGCTGGCGCCTTGCGCGCTGGCGCCTTGCGCGCTGGCGCCTTGCGCGCTGGCGCCTTGCGCGCTGGCGCCTTGCGCGCTGGCGCCTTGCGCGCTGGCACCTTGCGCGCTGGCGCCTTGCGCGTTGGCGCCTTGCACGCTGGCGCCTTGCGCGCTGGCGCCTTGGGCGCTCGCGCCTTGCGCGAGTTTGAGAGTGAGTGCGAGTGTGAGTGCGAGGGCGAGTTTGAGGGTGAGTGCTGTCAAGAATAATATATATTTCTATATATTGTTTTTGTAACTGCCTGTAGTGTAGATCACTGTAGTTATATAACGTTCTGTTTTGGTGGTGCACCATACTTCTTGCCTATTTGTACTGCCTGCTCTATACTGAAACCACTCTCTTTTCTTTCAACTCACTCAACTTCTCTCTAACTAAAACTACTCGAACTCAACCAAGGCTCCTAAGCCATGGCTCCCAAGCCAACTTCTTCCTAGTTACTTCGACAAGTGCGCGCGTGATTGTGTGTGTGCGTGCGAGGTAGAGTGCAAGGGAACACGAGGGTGCGATTGAGTGTGTGTGAGGGTGAGCGCGAGGACATATGCAAGGGTGTGTGTGTTTTTGTAAGTGTCAAAGAAGAGTTGAGAGTATATTTGTGTGAGTGAAGAGTGAGTGCGAGAGTGTGAGGCTGAGTGAGTGAGTTGGTGGCTGCAATGTTGAGTGCATGCAAGGGTGATCGTGGTGTGAGGGTAAGAGTGAGTGCGAGGGTGAGTACGAGTATGTGCAAGAGAGAGTGGGAGAGTGAGGGCGAGCAGGACTGAGAGAAGGAGTGCGAGCGTGAGTGTGGGCGTGGCTGTAGGTGCGAGTGTGGGTGTGTGTGCGAGTTGAGTTCGAGTGTACGAGCGGCTGTGTGTGCGTGTGCATGTTCGAATGAGTGCAAGGGTGAGCGCGAGCGCGAGTCCGAAGGTGAGCGTGAGGGTTTATGTGTGTGTTTCTGTGAGTGTGTCTCAGAACGGTTAGAAGTACTTGTGTGTTCGTGAGTGGTTGCGAGCGTGAGTGCGAGAGAGTGTGAGAGAATGAGTGCGGGTGTGAGTGCGAGTGAGTGCATGCATGCTCTTGAGGGTGCATAAGAGTGTGTGTACGAGGGTGAATGCGAGAGGAAGTGCGAGCATGAGTGCGAGAGTGAATGCGAAGGTGAGAGCAAGGGTCAGTGCAAGAGCAAGTGTTAGAGTGAGAGAGTGAGTGTGAGTATGAGTGTGAGTGCAAGTGAGTGTGCGAAAGTGAGTGCAAAGGTGAGTGCGAGGGTGCGGGTGTGAGTGCAATGGTAAGTGCGAGGGTGAGAGCGAGGGTATGTGCGAACATGAGTGCGAAGATGAGTTTGAGGGTGAGTGCGAGGGTGCGTGCAAGGGTGCGTGCGAGTGTGCGTGCTAGTGCATGCGAGTTTTGTGTGAGTGTGAGAGTGCAGGGAGTGTGTGTTTCTGTGAGCGTGTATAACAGAAGCTGGGAGCGATAGTGTGTACGTGAGTTGGAAAGTGAGTACGAGAGTGAGGTGTGAGGATGAGAGTGTCAAGGTGAAGGCGAGGGTGGCAGCGAGGTATTGCGTGCATGTTGGCGTGGTATGTGTGACGACACGATATCTTTTACAGAATCGATGTCAAATTTGATTGCTTTCGTCCCTCATCTTTATTTTTGTACTTTATTCTTCATCAGCGCCTTGTTATAACTCTTACCTCGTTTCTTGTGCTCGGGTGGGCTGCATTCCTGTGATTGTTTGTTTTTGTTTGTGCAGGGAGTGTCAGCTGCACTATCTGTTTTTGCTTTCTTGTCCAGGGAGTGTGAGTTGCATGCGCTGTTTGTGCTGTTTGTGCTTTCTTGTGCAGGGAGTTCAAGCTGCACTATTTGGCTTTTCTTGTGGAGAAAGGGGGGGGGGGGGGGGGGTTGAGAGAGGGTAAACAGAGACGGGAGGGTCGAATAAAATAGGGGATATTGGAAGGGAGGGGGGGATGGGAGACAAGGGAGGGAGGGAGGGGAATCTGGGACAGATTAACGATTATTTATACAGGCTGGGCTCATTCGTTACGCTTGCATTGCATGTTCAATAACGGTAGTAAGCTTTTGTGTTTGTATGCGTGTGCGTGTAGGTGTGTGTGTGTAGGTGTGTGTGTGAGTGAGCTTGCATGTGTCTGTCCATACATGTTGGTGTTGTTTGTGTCTGTTTCGGGGATTGGTGTTGAGTGCCTCGTGTATGCAACTGGGGTTGTGATCGTCGGTGGGGCAGCTTTGCTCGCCCCTTCCACACCATATCAACCTCAGTTGCATCATCGATGCATTTAGCATTCGCCTTGAAGCATTCACAACTGTTTAGTGTTCAGCGTTTTTGTGCAAGTTTGTGTGTTGTCATTTGTGTCTGTTTCGGGGATTGGTGTTGAGTGCCTCGTGTATGCAACTGGGGTTGTGATCGTCGGTGGGGCAGCTTTGCTCGCCCCTTCCGCACCATATCAACCTCTGTTGCATCATCATCGATGCATTTAGCATTAGCCTTGACACATTCTTGATTGTCAAACGCTTTTTAGCAAGTTCGTGTGCGGTCAGGTAGTTTGTGTCTGTTTCGGAGTGTGTCGAATGCATCGTGTGTGTGCTTTCAGATCGTCATGCTGATTTGTTTTTTTGTTTGTTTTTTTGTTTCGTCATTCGTACGGAGAGATTGTCCAATTATTCCATTCGCCGTACTTATCGACGATTATGGATGATTGGACACATTTGGTTTCACTTGTAGGGTAACTTATGTGAACAGTGTTTTCTTCCAAAATCTTGGAGGGTTATCACTGTTCACATCAGCCAGCCTAAAAGTGAAAACGAATGTATAAGGTTGCTACGCAACCCAAAAACACGTATGGAAGTGTTGCCCTCAGATCGGTCTTTTTCCGGAGCATCACGGGTACGCGGGCAGGAAATAAACATTCCAACAGAAAAGCTATCTGGGAGCGGTTTAGGAGTCGGTTCACTCTCAACAGCCACGGCCCCAAACCAAACGTGAACGTAAATGTGGTAATAGTGTATTATTTTGTATATATATATTTCCCGCTGCCGTCCGTTAATTTTCCGTGCCATTCTGTCATCACCTTGATTCTTGCGGTGTCGTTCGATACCTCAGTCATAGCTCAGTTGTCCCTCCTACCCGGCTATTGCTCGCCTTGCAACAGTGTGACTTATGCCTCGCAGCTCACCCGTCCCTCCTTCCAGACGTTCCGTCCTCTAATTAACGGTCGACTCGGCCGGTGAAGACCTGTACAGCAGACGAGATATGTTGGATATTAGGGTTGTCACGAGCAAGGAGCGATGTGTTTACACTATTTAGTAACCCTTTTCCACCCCGCACGAGCAGGGCAAACTTTACTATGTATTGTTTGTAAACATGCACGCTAGGCTGATTGTCGGAGACCGCTACGCCATCGTCACTTCTCACCATTCCGCGTGATCGAGACATAGCTCCTTAGTCAGCGACAGTTTTTTCTATTAGTCGTCAAGCTTCTTAGTTCATGAAGGCCCGTGGACGCTCTTCTGCCGCGTAGTGGCGTCAAGTACCAGCAGATACGAAGCGCGTCGCCGTCTCGTTACCACACGCTGGGAGTTTGTCGCAGTAATTAGGGTTCGCCAGTCCCTCGTTACAGTTACACAATATCAGTAATCTTTGCAAAGGATAGTTTTGTCTCTGAATCTACGATCTCTCGCCGAAGGGACTTTCACTAAGCGCTCGTCACACATCTACCTTTCTGTTGTTCTCATATTGTTCGTCACGCCCTGACAATTCAATCGGCCAGACAGTAGAACCCGTGTCGCATCCTCTCTGATGGAATGCCGGTCGCGGTCATCTTTGAGACATCTTGATCAACAGCATCGACGGCATCGACGGCATCAACAGCATCAACAGCATCAACGACATCAACGGCATCAACGGCATCAACGGCATCTAAAGCATCAACGGCATCTAAAGCATCAACGGCATCAACGGAATCAACGGAATCAACGGCATCAACGGCATCAGCATCGTCAACATTGTTTAGAGAGTCAATCGCGACCGGCTTTTTCAACAACCCTCCCACTCTCGCGCCCTCTTCTGCATCTGCTACAGCTAATAACCGTTAGATGCTTGCCACGTTCATTCAAGAATCCGTTGTGCATCCCTCGCCAGCGTAGCTTCGGAATCCTATTGGCGACGCTCATGCTCGCAGCTTCGGTGCCGTCTCGCCTGCCAGCCGGCACTGGTGGCGGCGGCGGCGGCGTTAACGCGCAGGCCATAGCTCCATCGCAAGGTGAGGGCAGATTCGCAAAGTTCGTAGCGCTGGTGTGAACCGTGACTGCCTAGTATCAACCAGAGAGCAAGCTTTTCATGCCGCCACTCCACTCTCGCCTAGTGTCAAGCCCTAGAAGGTCTATGCTCTCGCCAGGCTCTGGGATTGCCCGCTCGCGACAGACCCTAGGGCTTCGCAGTTTGCGTGAGGCTACAAGAATTCTATTCGCGTGAGATCACATAGATTCTGGCTAGCTTCCAACGCGGTGAAAGCTACCTGGACCCGTCTGGTTGAAACGTCCCCCCAAGGCTGTCCCGAGTCAGCTGATGACATGGAAGATCAATGGTGGATTGATGCGCGTTGAAATAGTTGTTTAGTGCATATGTGCGCTCACAGCCTCGGTAGATGTAGAACTTGGGTAGTGCAAACGATAATGTACTCATGTAATTGGTTGCGTTGACTGGATGTGTGTGACTGGGCGGTTGTGCGGCTCATTGTGCGACTGAACCAAATGTGCTCGGGAATGTGTGTGTGTGTGTGTGTGTGTGTGTGTGTGTGTGTGTGTGTGTGTGTGTGTGTGTGTGTGTGTGTGTGTGTGTGTGTGCACGTTTGCGTGCGTGCGGGCGTGCGTTCGTGCGCGCAGTGACAGTCTTGACGGAGTTTGAGCGGCAGTGGGGCACAACGTTTGATGGATGGGGGCACCATGATGATGATTGTGCAGAGGCGCATGGCCTCACATGCGATGTCGACGGCATGATCACTTCCATGTAAGGCCCAGCCCACCCACACAGGCCCATCCACACATGCCATGCTGTATTTTTCTTGCCTCAACTGTTTCCCTCTCCCCATTCCCGCCTCACCCCATCCCACCTTTCCCAGGCCCTCCTCTCGCAACCCCCCTATTCTCCGTTCCCTCCCTTCCGTCACTCTTTTTCTGACCTGTTTCTCTCTCATCTCATCCTTCATGCCCACCACTCCTCATTCCCAAGCATGCCATGACCGCGTCTCGTCCTCGTCTCTCACGCTGTACTTGTCTCGCCGACAGTCTCCTGTGTGCTATTTGCCATGGTGTATCATCGTGCCATACCATGCCTGCCCCCCATGCACATGCATGTGCTGCCATGGCAGGAGAGTGGCGTCCCAAGGTCACCCTCTGGGCTCTATACCAGTGACTATTGGCAACCTAACACAACTCACACACCTGTCAGTTTACTTGCTTCAAACAGGGGTTCTTGAAATTGCTTTCATGGATGCCATTCTTCTCCTTTCTATGCGGTTGAGTGAACGGATGTATGAAATGTGCTAAGTGCGCCAGAACTGCTCTTGAGGTTGCATCCATTCGTTCGGAATCTGTCTCGGCCATGCATATCAATCGTTACCCACCTTTCCTTACCCAGCCTTCCGTTCTTCCTCTCACATCATTCTTATATGCGCGTTTCATCGGTCCTCCTCTTGCGCAAGCTTGCGGTTTTCCTCAAAGCTCTCATACAGTCAACTCGATTGCAATGCTCCATTCAATTCTTCACCCTGCTCATCCCCATGCTGTGTTCTGTGTGTGTGTGTGTGTGTGTGTGTGTGTGTGTGTGTGTGTGTGTGTGTGTGTGTGTGTGTGTGTGTGCGCGCGTGCAGATCTATCACCTACTGTGAGCTGGCAGGCTCCATCCCCCCAATTCTTGGCTCTCTAACACTCCTTGATGCACTGTACGACTAAAACCTGATCGTCCATCCATTCATCCATCCATCCGTCCGTCCATCCGTCCATCCGTCCGTCCATCCGTCCATCCGTCCATCCGTCCGTCCGTAAACTTCACCTCAGCTTGGACTAGCCACATGACATCCTCTGCCTGCAAATTCATTCATTCATGTGTGTGTGTGTGTGTGTGTGTGTGTGTGTGTGTGTGTGTGTGTGTGTGTGTGTGTGTGTGTGTGTGTGTGTGTGTGTGGAAGCAGTGATTTGAGCAGCAATAACCTATCAGGGAGAATACCTAATTCCCTGCAACAGCTTGACAGACTGCGTACCCTGTGAGCGACTCTGCACCCTGTGAGCGACTCTGCACCCTGTGAGCGACTCTGCACCCTGTGAGCGACTATGCACCCTGTGAGCGACTCTGCACCCTGTGAGCGACTCTGCACCCTGTGAGCGACTCTGCACCCTGTGAGCGACTTTGCACGCTGCAATCGTCTGCGTTCTACACGTCTCCTCCGTATTGACTGAGCACTTGCATGTCAAGTATACTCTCAGAACCCCTTGCACACGCCATGTCATGTCATGCCATGCCATGCATGGGAGTGATGACCCCAAAGCTAATCCGACTTGCTAATTCACATGGATTCGCTCCTGTGCATGTGTGGCATGGAATGACATGGGGGGTAATGCCATGGAATGACATTTCAAGGTATGGGGTGACGTGGGATGGAACATTGAATGACTTGGCATGGCATGGTATGGGATGGTATGCGATGGTATGGGATGGTGTCGGATGGTGTGGAATGACATGGTGGCGCTGTATACACATGGCAATGGCATCAGCAATCTGAGCAGCAACCAGTTGAGTGGACCCATCCCATTGCATCTACTACAACGCCTCACTGACCTCACACTACTGTGAGTCGCACGCAGACCCCTTTCAGCTCCGACCTGTAACCTCTCTCTCTTCTTCCTACTTATCCGTTTCCCTCTCTCTTGTATTTCCTCTCTTTCATCCGCCCTTGTATTTGTTAGAATGAAGGTACAGCACTATGGGTATGCATGGCAGCAAATGACAGGGAGAAATATAGGGAATGGGAACAGGGTAGAGCATAGAGGCATATGCTTCATGGGTGGGGTATGTATGAGGTGGGGTGTTGGTGCTCTCCGCGTTTCCTATATCAAACCATGGCATCGTATGATTGCATGGCATGGCATGGCACTGCACTGCATTGCATGGCATGGCATGACGTGTCATGTGGTATGGCATGGCATGGTGGTGCATAACATGTCTGATACAGGGACCTGTCGCACAATCAGTTGTCAGGATCCGTGCCATCGTATCTCGCCTCTCTCTCCAGGCTCAAGTTCCTGTATGTATGCTTGCTCCATTGGTACGACTTTTGAGAATTCTCAAGAGTCGCACCAGTTCCTGTATGTATGCTTGCTCCATCACCATCATTCATTCCCTCCCCTCACCGTTCCTCCCCCCTCCTCACCCTCCCCCTCACCCTCCCCCTCCCCACTCCCCCACGAAATTTCCCCCCCCGCTACTCCCCTTTCCTCTTCCCTGCTCCCCCTCCTGCTGCAACTCTGCCTCTTGCCGTTCCTCCCCATGCCCCTGGTCCTTCTGTCATATCTTACTCCCCTCATTCTTCCCCTTGTCACTCCGTTCACCATGTCACCACTCATCTGCTCCTCTCGCTCTCCGTGCCACATCCGATTCCCCTGATGCATCAGTACCTGTGGCTAGTGCTCTACAGCCATGATGTGAATGGCAGATTCAGTTCACTGTCCCACCCACCTCATCCCTCTCTTCCTCCTACCTATTCCCCTGTGTCTCTCCGATTCGCAACTCAAATCCTTCCCGTTTCTTTCTTCTCCCATCACAAACAACGCCTTCTCTCCCCTGTTCTCCCTCCCTCGCACCACCCCTCAACCCCCCTGCGCCCCATCGCTGTGCCCTTCTCCCAGGAATATCTCAGACACACGCATCTCCTGTCCTCCCGCCTCCTCCTCCTGCCTAACACGCCCTCCTCGCTCCTCCGCCTTTTGCCGCCTCTGCTCGACCTTCTGCTCCTCCTGCCGCCCTCCTCCTGCACCCTCCCCTCTTCCAAACCCCCTACCATCACCGGCACCATCACCATCACCATCACCAGCACCAGCACCATCACCAGCACCAGCACCATCACCAGCACCATCACCAGCACCATCACCAGCACCATCACCAGCACCATCACCAGCACCATCACCAGCACCATCACCATCACCATCACCAGCACCAGCACCAGCACCATCACCAACACCAACACCAGCTTCAGGGCAATCCCCACAGCCGCAGCCCCAGCCGTTTCCCCAGCCCCAGCCCCAGCCCCAGCCCCAGCCGCTCCTAAAACCCCCCATACCTGCAAACTCATCAGGGCACTCCCAGTCCTCCTCCTCCTCTTCCGCCTACCCCCTACCGCCCCCTCCCGGCCCGCCTGTGGCCCCGGAGGATCCTCTTCGGCAGTCGGGCGTGTCTAGTACTGGCATCGTGGCCATCGTGGGCGCTGTCGCTGCTGTCATGCTGCTCGCTGCTGTCGTGTGGTGGCGCTGGGGGGGGCAGAAGCAGCAACCTGCGCGCACCAGCAGTATGGACTTGGGTGGAAAGAAGGGAGGGAGTGGAGGGAGTGGTGGGGGGAGAGGGAGAGGGAGGTTGGGGGAGGAGAAGGAGGGGTGACGGGATGTAGTTGGTGAGGTTAGGAGGAGGGATGAGGATGGGTAGAGCATGTTACTGTAAGGATCATTATCCTCATCCCAGTAGAAGGACGCGAATGGGAAGGAGTGTTTGATTGGACCACATCTTTAGCCTCTTGCACTTTCATTATCGTTCGCTCCCCCACCTCAATATTGTTCCTTGCTTCCTCCCTCGCACTTCCGCCTCCCAACACCTGCCCCATCCAGCTCTCCCCACCTCCACCCCATCTTTCGTCCCCCCTCCGTCCTATACCCTCTCTCCCTCCCTCCTCCTCCGCACTCCTCTCCTATCCTCTCTCCTCACTCTCCCCCACCCCACTCCTTCACCACATGGCAGGCTCATCAAGTCTATCCCGCTCGGCCAAGAGGCGTGTGATACCAACGAGAGAGTTCTCCCCAGACGAGCTGTGCCGGGCCACGTGCAACTGGTCGGAGGACAGCCTGATAGGCTCGGGGGCCTTCCACGATGTGTACCGCGGGGTGTCCCCGCACGACGGCACCACGCTGTGGGCTGTCAAGCGCGCCAAAGTGCTCAGCAACGACTATCAAAGAGAGGTGGGCTGGTGGGGAGCAGTGACACGGTTTTTGAGGCGCTGCAGAATTTGTTAGTTAGCAGAAGGAAGTGGGTTGGGGAGTTAGCAGAATTTGGTGCTGTGAACATGTGGGTGCTGGGCAGTGGTTTCACAGTGGTCAGCAGCAGCTTTCAGGGGGAGGAGGGCTAGCGAGCGAGCGAGCGGCAGTGCTTGTGCTGCTGTCGTTTGCTGCGGCAGCTTCTTCTCATGCTGTTGCTGCTATCACTTGTGCTCTTGCACATGACCATCAACTATCACTCACTCACCTTCCCGCCTCCCCTTCACATTCCGTCCTTCATTCCTCTACTCCACCCAAACCCCCACCCCTTTGCTCCCCCACCCTCTCCTCTCCCCTACCCCGCTCCTGTTGCAGATAGCTCAGATGTCCCCCAGGAGTCACCCGAACGTGGCGCGCCTGCTGGGGTACTGCAAGGCACCGCCGCTGGATGGATCGCCAGGCGCACGCATGGAGCAGATTCTCGTCTACGAGATGCTACCCAACGGTGGCCTGGACGAGTGGATTGGAGAATGTGAGTGCCTTGATTCGACCCAAGAGATGACAGTTGGCATGCCGTGTGCAGGCATGGAGCAGATTCTCGTCTACGAGGTGCTGCCCAACGGTGGCCTGGATGACTGGATTGGAGAATGTGAGTGGCGCCAGCTTCTGGTTACCACTGCTTTTCTGCTGTTCGTCATCATCCCGTCCTCCCCTTTTTCCCTTCTTCCCACCTTGCCCTTATCATGTTCCCCTCCCTCTCCCTTCCCCCTGCCCCCATTCTCCCCTTCCCCCGTGCCCCCCCTCCTCCCTCCACCCCTTCCCCCTTTCCCCCACCTCCTGCCGCTGCGTCTGTGCTCTGTTTCCACTCCGTCCTCCTCTCCCTTATGTTTTGGTGATACATCTCCGTTTCGTTTCGTTGCCTTGCCGCCTTGACCATGACCCCGATTCTCCCCCCCCACCTCGCCCTGTTCTCCCCATCCACCCCTCCCCCGCCCTCTTCTCCCCACCCCCCCTCCCCCGCCCTCTTCTCCCCCCCCCAGACTGTGCCACGCCCCTCACCCTGCTGCAGCGCCTGCACATCCTGCTAGGAGCAGCCAAGGGCCTGGCATATCTGCACAAGTTTGGCATCGTGCACCGCGACATCAAGCCCGCCAACATCCTGCTGGATAGAAACATGCAGGTGTGGCCCCGCAGCCTCCTTGTCACGCCTGTCATGCCTTGGGGATGTTTGACACATTAACAGCGTCCTCCCCCAACAACCCTTCCCCAACACATTCTCCAACACTAACTCCCCAGCATTCCTTCCCCAACGCTCCAAGGCTCAAAGTGTGCATCATCATCATATGGGTTGATTCTCAGTCGGTGCTCTCTACATGCACCAGCTATCCATCCATGCCTCCTTGCCTCCATCAATCCATCCATTCCTCACCCTCACCACATGCATCACCTATTTCCCTGACTGCTGACATCCCTCCACGTCTTCCACATGCCTGCTCCGTGTACCATGGCTGCAGGCCAAGGTGGCGAATCTGGGTATGGTGAGGGTGGGTGAGAGCAGCGTGGTGAGCTTCACGGACCCCTGCTATGCGCAGACCATGCAGGCGAGCACTGCGTGCGATGTCTACAGCTTTGGCGCCGTCATTCTCGCCACCGTTGCCAGCCATGCTGCCCTGCTGGAGGATGAATTCCAGACTGACACTCTGCAAGCGGTCAGTCAGTCTGTGATGCTGCTTTTTGGCTTTCTCATCAGCCGCATGGGCTGTGCAGCACCAAGCTTTGGGCCTGACTTACTGTTCAGAACTGCATAGCACCGCACAGAACCTGTGGTGGATGTCATGCAACATGGCGTCTGTTTGCCATTCCCCTCGCTCTGTGCATACTCTTAATCTCGCTCGATTTTTCCAACTGCTGTTGCATGTTCCAGGTGACCAACTGTCTATCCAGTGGCGATGCGGCAAGTTTGAAGGACCCGCGCATGGATGCACCAGATGACATGTTCGCTCACATCATCCAGCTCGCTCTCAGCTGCTGCCTTGCCAATGCCTCGCTTCGCCCTGCCATGCCTCTGGTTGTGAAAGAGCTTAAGGACCTGCGAGGGGAGTTGCTGGGCACAGGGAGTGTTAATGGGAGCATGAATTCGGACATTCAGCAAAGATTAGGTGGGATACAGCGGCATGAGGGTAGGGGCAAGGCGGTAACGCTTAGGATTTGTGATGAAGATGGGTTGATCACAATTGAGCATGCAAGGCCTGAGGCATGTTGAGCCGTTTTTCCTGTGCAGGTGCTTTCTTGCTTGAATTCATTGCCTTTGCAGACGTGTTTATATAGTATTTATATTTTGATATCATGTGCTTGCTAACCTGAGGTAAGAAGAATTGTGGTTGGTAGGAAGGAAATATGCCGTACACAGGCTTAGCACTTTTCTCCCACAGGTGATTGATTGTTGATAACAAATGAAAAACTATGAGCTGGTCGGGCTGGAGACCAATTGTAACATAGGTGCATCATCATCACATATTGGCCCAAGCCGCCATTCGCGTTACAGTCCACCATGACAAACGTAGCCGCCCAAACCGAAAAGCAGATTTGTAAAAGTTGAACCAGTGGGTACTGTAGTTGTGCACTACTGTACCCACGCTCGTGTACAGTTGCAGGTGGCACGTACGAGAGTGACCAGGTCGTACATGCTTCGTGGCTCAGAACGGTACCACACGGTTGAAAGCGTGGTCCCACACGGCTCTTTACATTTACCGTTTCACACCGTGACGCAACGAATTAGAGCGCGGAGAACTTAGGGCGCGTCCAAAGAGTACGTCCGAATGGGTTTGAAAACGGTTGGGGTTTTACCCAAAGCGGTCTAATTAGAAATCCAGGTGGTTGGGTAGGGTTTTCTGCGAAGACGTACATTGTTGGACCTGCCCTTACAGAAGAGATGAAAGTATGACCTGGCCACGCCCTAGGATTTACCAGCAGCAGTATCTCCTTCGCAATCCGTCGTGCTGTTTCGATTTGCATGTCATTAGTATCTTAGTCATGAGCTGTAGTGACGTCAGATCGGCATGAGCCTATCACAGCAAAAATCGTTGCTCTAGCATTTTAGGGCAACAGTATCTAGACTCCGACGTCTGATGGGAACACCGCATCCAGTCTTCGTCAGAATGGCCACAAAACCTAATAATTGCCACTGCTACAACATAAATAAATATTGTTACAGTCACGGAAGTTGCGACCTCTCGTGGCCTGACAGTAGGTGGCATCTAGTCGTGACGGTGTGCCTGTTAGTCTCTTCAGGTTTCCCACGTGCTGTGATTGCGCAGACGATAGAACCGTCCCAAGGTAGCACCTTTTCCTCATCCCTTCAAATTTCCTGCCTCTCCCCTCATGCCATTCCCCCTTCCCCATTCCCCACATGCCACTTTTGGACTGCCTTTCTCCTCCTCGCATCGAAATGTACCGTTGATAGCACCTGCGCAAGGCCTTTCCCCCAAATCTCCGCTACTATCCCCGCATTCCTCCTTTGCGCTCCCCGCACGCCTGTTCCACCGTCTAACCCGCCGTTGTGCTCCGCCGTTCCTGGGCAGCGGCGGTGCTGGCGGAGTGTCAGCGGCAGTGGGGCGCAACGTTCCCCGGATGGACGGCGGGGGGAAATTGCGCGGACGCATTTGCCTTGGTGTGCGACTCGGATGGCATGATCGTGAAAATGTGAGGCCGTGGAATGCGATGCGTCATGCCATGCCACTCCATGCCACGCCGTGCCACGCCATGCCTCGCCATGCCACGCCATGCCGTGCCATGCCGTGCTGTTCCCTGCCACTATGCCATGCCATGCCATGCCATATCACGCCACGTCAAAGCATGCCAATTCTCTTTCTCCGTTGCCCACGACCTCCCACTTCCCTTCCTGGTGTGTGCGGGCGAGCAGGGAGGTGGAGAAATATGGCACCGATGGGGCGTCACTGGGATCCATTCCCCATGTCCTCAGCAACCTCTCTCGCCTCTCAGTGCTGTGAGCGCGGGATGGGGGAGGGCGAGAGGGATGGAGGGAGGGATGGAGGGAGGGAGAGAGGGAGGGAGGGAGGGAGGAGAGAGGGGGGAGGAAGGGAGGGAGGGAGGAAAAAGGCGGAGAGCGACGCAGAGAGAAGCAGAACCAGGGAAGTAGGGGAAGTAGGTGAAGTAGGAGAGGTGATGTGGCGTTGGCGTTGTTGGTGTTTCTTTTGCATGCCACTAACTTACAGGTTTATCCTGATGCACACGCTGCCGTTGCCATTGCCGTTGCCATTGGTCATTACCTTGCCATTGCCATGTGTGCATGTGTGGCAGGTCACTGTCTTTGAATGCCATGACCGGCCCTATCCCTCCATCACTCGCCAACCTCCCAAAACTCAACGCCCTGTGCGTGCCCTTCTCTTGAGAAATGCCTCCCCCTCTCACTCACAAGTCCCCTCACTTTGTGCCGCCACGGTAACACACCCGCACTGGTCAACCATACGTGCATGCTATTGACAGTGACCATTCTATTTTTCCTGTCTTCTGCTCTTTCTTGCATGACAAACCCCTGATCCCGTTCGCATCTATCCATGCTCTGTGGTTGTGTTGTTATGTTGTGTTGCATGTGCCACCTGCCATGTGCCACCTGCCATCTGCCATGTGCCACCTGCCATGTGCCACCTGCCATGTGCCACCTGCCATGTGCCACCTGCCATGTGCCACCTGCCATGTGCCACCTGCCATGTGCCATCTGCCATGTGCCACCTGCCATGTGCCACCTGCCATGTGCCACCTGCCATGTGCCACCTGCCATGTGCCACCTGCCATGTGCCACCTGCCATGTGCCACCTGCCATGTGCCACCTGCCATGTGCCATCTGCCATGTGCCACCTGCCATGTGCCACCTGCCATGTGCCATCTGCCATGTGCCATCTGCCATGTGCCATCTGCCATGTGCCACCTGCCATGTGCCACCTGCCATGTGCCACCTGCCATGTGCCACCTGCCATGTGCCACCTGCCATGTGCCACCTGCCATGTGCCATCTGCCATGTGCCACCTGCCATGTGCCACCTGCCATGTGCCATCTGCCATGTGCCATCTGCCATGTGCCATCTGCCATGTGCCATCTGCCCATGTGTTATGTGCCCATGTGTTATGTGCCCATGTGTTATGTGCAATGTGCCATGTGCAGGAGCCTCTACAGCAACAACCTCACAGGCAGCATACCCTCGACATTCAGCCGACTCAAGCTGCTCGTTTACATGTTCGTCCCATCCCATCCTCCTACATCCCTACAATCATCCCGTGCTGCTCCTTCGTTTGCTTCCCTCTTTCCGCCGATCATCAACAGCTGCATGTATCTTGCTGCACGCTGCATTCCACATGTCACATGCCTCACCCCACATGCCACATGCCACCACGTCCCACATGGCCCATGTCACATCCCACATACCACATAGCACATGCCACATGCCACATGCCATATTCACCATGCCACATGCCACATCCACCATGCCACATCCCCCATGCCACATCCACCATGCCACATCCCCCAACGCCTCTTGAGGCGACCTCAAACCTTGGTGCTTCTTGCCTCCTCATAACTCGCGTTCTCTCGTGCACCGCTCCCTTCCCCATGCCTCTCTCTGCCTTCAGATCAGAGAGCACTCCAAGAGCCAGCAGTCAGGAGGGCTGTTGAGGCGCCTCAAAAGTCCTCTCATTCACTGCTCTCCCCCGCATGCGCCTGTCTGTCCGTCCGTCCGTCCGTCCGTCCGTCCGTCTGTCTGCCTGTCTGCCCGCAGGGACCTATCCAACAACCTGCTGTCAGGGCGCATTCCATCGCAGCTGTCCAGTCTTGTCCGCCTCACCCACCTGTAAGGCGCTGGGACAGCAGAATCAGGTCGTCCAGAGACCTTGTACAAGGGCACTGCAAGGCATGAGAATCAGGAGGAGACAAAGGAGCTGTCAAGTCAACAACCCCTTGTTGGGGGGTCGGGGGGCGAATGTAGTCACTAGGTGCGCAACACTCATATCATATTGACTGGCTGTTCCAACGCACCAGTGGGATTGGGCCCTGGCTAACTCTCTTCTCTTCTTGCTGCTGTGGTCCCACCCCCTCCCCCCGCTTCTCATGCTGTGCTCCCACTCTTTCTCTCCCTCCTCCTCCTCCTCCTCCTCCTCCTCCTCCTCCTCCTCCTCCTCCTCCTCCTCCTCCTCCTCCTCCTCCTCCTCCTCCTCCTCCTCCTCCTCCTCCTCCTCCTCCTCCTCCCCCTCCTATGATCTCTCATTGTCGCACTCGCCCATCCCGGCATGCAATGCAACGACCACCAGGGACATTGGCTACAACAGCCTCACAGGCACCATCCCGGCATCCCTCGGCTCCCTCCTCACCCTGCAGTACCTGTCAGTCTCTGTGCCCGCCTGCTCTCGGTTACTAGCTTGCATTGCTTGCCACTATCCTTCCTTCCTTCCTCCCTTCCTCCCTTCCTTCCTTCCTTCCATATCTCGGGCTCCCTCCACTCCACTGCACTGCACTCTCAAGTCTCATCTCAATCAACTCAAACATCCAGTGCGTGCGACTTTTGAGACGTCTCAAAAAACATCCAGTGCGTGCGCCGTGCGTGCTGAGAAGGATCTCAGCATTCAAGCTAACTACTCGAGACCCTAAAAGAATTTATATAGCTGCTGCATCCATAGAGCTTGGAATCTTCCCATCCAAACCCTCCTTTTCTCTACCCTCTTTCCCCCCCACCTTTCCTCCTCAACCCCTCCTTTCCTCCTGTCTCTTCCCGTTCCTCCCAACGCTCCCCACAGTCCACTGCCCTCCCCTCCACCCCCTCATACGATCCCAGTAAGAATGACATCATGGAATAGCCAGTTTAGGCACCTCCATACATTGAAACCAGCCTCACTCTCCCTCCTCCCACCTTAGCCTTCCGACCAACTAACCACCTCCTCCTCATTCCCTCCTCCTTGCGCTCTGTGCGCAACCCTCCATTCCTGCCCTGCCCTGCCCTGCCCTGCCCTGCCCTGCCCTGCCCTGCCCTGCCCTGCCCTGCCAGCTTTCTCAACGACAACCAGCTGATAGATTCGCTTCCTCTGTCTCTCAGCAGCCTGTCCAAGCTCAGAGTGCTGTAACGTTCCCAGTCCCCTCCGCACCCCTCTCCACTGTGGTCCATGTGGGATCACTCGGTTTTTGAGAATCCTCACAACCCAGCACATTTGAAGTGCATGTGAAACCGAGAAGAGAAGGAGCTTGCTGCTGCTTACACTGACTGCTCCATTCTCACTTCAGCACCACTCCCTTGCTTCAGAGAAGGGGCTTTTTTTTAGGCGCCTAAAAAATCTGCTCCATTCTCACTTCAGCACCACTCCCTTGCTTCAGAGTAGGGGCTTGCTTGCTTCCCCCCCTCCATTTCTCTGCCCGGAGATGACGCCCTTTACCTCTGCTCCCTGATCCCCATGCATCCCCATGCATCCCCATGCATCCCCACGCATTCCCATCCCATGCATGCATGCTGCGTGTGCCTTCGCAATGCCATGTGCTCGCCTCAGAGCCCTCCAGGAGAACCACCTATCGGGCAGCATTCCCGAATCATTGGCTAACCTGAATCAACTCAGCGCCCTGTCAGTGCTCCCACCCCATGCTTCTTGCCACCCCATGCTTCTTGCCACCCCATGCTTCTTGTCACCCCATGCTTCTCGTCACCCCATCCTCCCCAGTCTTCCATCTTCTCCCTCTTCGCGAGTGTCCTGCTGCCTATGCCATGACGGCTGCTCTTCTTTCCCATCTTCTCTAATGCACGCGCGTGCCCCTTCCTTGCTCTGCCCCTCCCTTGCTCCGCCCCTCCCCCTTAACCCCTTCTCATGAGCAGCCTTTGGTCCAGCAACTCTCTAGAAGGCTTTTGAGTCGACTCAAGAGTCACCTCGTTACAATGGGACACTGTCCCTCCCTTGCCGGCGTCTCCCTCCTGCCCCCTTCTCATGAGCAGCCTTTTGTCCGAAAACACTCTGGAAGGCTCCATCCCCTCATCCTTTGGCCGCCTCTCCAGACTCACCTCACTGTGCGACAAACCTCTAGCCTTACGTGCAAGTTCTTGCGTGGTGTTGGGTGCTATGTGCATGTGTGCATGCATATGTGCATGTGTGTATGAGTGGGTCTACTGCCATCCTCCCGTCCGTTCTTCTCCTCCTCCTCCCTATCTCCCTGTCCCCTCCTTCGTCCACCCTCCTTTTCTTCCCCCTCCCTCCCTGCCCCCCCTCCTATCTCCCCCCTTCCCTTGGTATGTGCAGTGGACTGTCCGGCAACGAGTTGATTGGACCTATTCCCTCAAATCTGGCTTCTCTAACAGCTCTCAACTATTTGTACGGGAACCCTTTCTCCTGCTTTCATCCACTCCCTCCTTCCTTTGCCCGTCCCTCCCCTCCCCTGTGGTCTTTCCCCCTCACACCTGCCTCCATTCGTTCATCCGTCTTGCCTCCCCTCCCCTGTTGATGTTACGTGGGTGGATGAAACATTTATCTTGAGTCGTCTCAAAACAAATGCTTCATCACATGGTTTTCTTTCCCTGCTTTCCCCCCCATTCAAGCCATGTGTCTGCTTATTGTCCAAGCCCCTCGCACTCACCTTCACATCACGATAGTGAGCTTGACATACCACATCTGGCACACCACACCACACCACACCACACCACACCATGACACTTCATACACCGTGACCTGCACTGTACCATCACGCATTGGTTTCCCTACCTTCTCACCGCCCATTTCATCCCCTTCGATGTTCTTCTCCTCGCCGCTACTCATGTCCTTCTCTCCTCACCGCACACCAGGAGCTTGAGCGACAACGGGTTGTCTGACGGAGTGCCTACCTTCATTGGCAACCTCACCTCCCTCATCTACCTGTGCGCCTCCTCTCCCTCACATGCCCCGGTGACCGTGCCCATGCGCTTGCCCATGCCCATGCGATGCCCATGCCCATGCCCATGCGCTTGCCCATGCCCATGCCCATGCCCATGCCCATGCCCATGCCCATGCCATGCCCATGCCATGCCCATGCCCATGCTCATGCATGCCAGGCCAGCAGTGCTTTTCAGCTAAGTTGGAATATACGCTACTTTTCTTTTGCGTTTTGCGTTTATACTCTTAACGAATTCGTACGCTGCGTATAATTTGAAAATTCGCCAAGTTGAATTTCGGGCAGACCGAAAAAAAAACAACATTTCAATCCGAAGCTCGCGACGTGGCGATCTCTATTCCGAGTCGCAGATGTCGCGAACTGAACTCGAATTTTGAACTTTGAGCTCCAAACCTCCTCAACCCCTCCCCTCCACCGTTTCACGGGTACATTAGTGGTAAATTACTGTAACTTTCATATTAATTAAAAGGTGATGGGGGTTACCCCCCCATCCCCACCTCTTACCCCAAAAAACTGCCCGACAATTTTGTTTTCCCTGCCCGGGCAAGCGTATTCTTGTGCGTACCAGACCCCTCATGGCCAGCGTCTAGCGTATATACTCACGCGTATATACGAGAGCGTACAAAACGCTAAGCGCATTTATTCCAACTTAGCTTTTCAGCACCTTATTGCGTGATTCCTCTTTGGCGCCATGCTGCCATCGCCTTTCTCATCGGCCTGTGCTCTGCCCAACCTCTCCCTGTCTTTTCACGCCTTCCTCTTTGTTCCTCTCATATCCCGACGCCTTTTATGCACCCTTGGTCCTGCTGTGCATGGTCATGCTGCGTGCTGCATGGTGCATGCTGCATGGTGCATGGTGCATGCATGTCCACTTGGAGCAGTTACCTGGGCAACAATCAGCTGCAAGGGTCGTTACCTCCCTCCATTTGGGCTCTTCCTGCTCTCATAGAGCTGTGCGTGCTGCAATCCATGCTACTATTGTACAAGTTTACAATCTTCCTTGTCCCTTCCTTCCTTGTACAAGTGTACAATTTTCCTTGTACAAGTGTACAATATTCCTTGTCTCATCATAACGTCCCTTCCTCTCATTGAACTGTTTCAGCATGTCATTATTATGTCACCATTCCACCATGTTTCGTAGATCCCATAACCTCAAATCCCGCTTCTCTTTTACTATTCCCATTCCCTCCCTTAAGCTACATAATCAGCCGTAGTGTTGCCCAACTCCCCAGTCTTTCTTCCTCTTTTTTTTTCCTGTCTTCCTTCCAGTCTATTTTTGTTTTACATTCTCCTGTCCCATCACGCATCACTCATCATATGCCCATCCATTCACCCCATGTGCATGCGCACACAGGGACCTATCCAACAACATGCTCACAGGCTCCATCCCATCATCAATCACTTCACTTGACGGCCTCTCCTCCCTGTCAGTCCTCTGCACTGAACCAATGATTGCCATACCCTGCCATCCCTGCCATGCCACGCCACTGAACATGGGCACATTACTGAACCTAACCGAACCGGTTTAGAAATTCCTTCCCTGATTTTTTCTTTCTTTCTTTCTATGTTTTCCTCAAACCGGTTCGGTACCGAACCAAACCACACTGCTTTTTGTTGCTTAAGTCTACATGCCATGCCACACCATCCATGCCATGCCATGCCATTCTACTGCCCGGCGTCTGGGTGACTTTTGAGTCGACTTAAAAGTCACCTCATGAGTCGACTCAAAAGTCGCCATTCTACTGCCCGGCATCACAGGATGCCCACTTACTTGGCCACTGAGAACTCCTCCACCTTCCCATCCCCTCCCCTTGCATGCCCAACAGCAACTTAGCTGGGAACAGCATTACTGGCTCAATCCCCGATGCTCTCGGCAACCTCACCACTCTCATATTACTGTCAGTCCATTCACATTGCCTCTCTCACCCCACACTGCCATGCCATCCTTTCCACATTGTCAACCTCACGTCTCTCCCGTTGCTGTCAGTCCAGCACTCACATTGCTTCACGCCTCGCACGTTGGGAATCTTGCCACACTCGGATTGTTGCGAGTATACACCATTCAACTGCGAAAATCTTCTTTGCATCTCGCCACACACCCCATGCATTACTCTAGGATACGTCCACCATCACATAGCATGATGTTCACACCCCAGCACATGGCACGCATGGCATGGCATGGCGTTTGCATGGCAACCCATGGCATGGTACGTCGCCACCTGTCACGGAACGGCACGGCATGGCTTGGGATGGCGTGGCATGGCATGGCATGGCATGGCAGGGACCTGAGCAACACGCTGCTAGGCAGTTCCATGCCAGCCTCCCTTGGCGGTCTTACCCAGCTCGTTTACCTGTGAGCACCTCCATCACCCCCATCACCTCCATCACCTCCATCACCATCCAGTCCATTTCAAGCACAGCTCCCACGAATGTTTTCCCCGTGAGCATGCTGCCTGCACTGCTCCCGGAAAGAGGCATTTTTGTACGGTCACTGCCCTTTCCCTGTCTGTGAGGGCCTCACACGGAGTGAGGCTTGAGATGTCTCAAAAGTCTTCCCTGTCTGTGAGGGCCTCGCCTCACAGTGAGTGAGGCTCATGTTGTTCTGTGGTGAAGGCTCTGGGCGGGTAGTGGATGTTGTACTGCCCTCATGGGACATGATAGGGCATGGTGGGGCTTGGTAGGGCATGGTGGGGCATGGTGGGGCATGGTGGGGCATGGTGGGGCATGGTGGGGCATGCAGCCACATGACATGTGCTTCATGGATACATGCTAACACAGCACAGTTGCATATTCGCGCACCCTTCTCCTTTCCGTTCACCTTCCCCTCCTTGTCCTTTTTTTTTCTCCTTCTCGTACCTTTTGCCCTTATCCTTCTCCTTCTCCTTATCATCCCTCTCCTTATCCTTATCATCCCTCTCCGTATCCCTCTCCTCCTTCCTCTTCGCCTTCCCCTTCTCCTCCTCCGTGCCATCCACGCGCGCATGCCATCCAGGGAAGTGCAGAACAGCCAGCTCAAGGGTTCCCTCCCTGCCACGCTCGGGGCCATCACCTCTCTCACCACCCTGTAAGTCGCCTCTTTCCCTGTGCGTGCGTGTGTACCTTGTACAGACAGCCGTGAAAGCGAGATAACTAAGAGCGTCTGCCTGCCTGCCTGCCAGCACTGCTGGTGAGTTTTGTTGGGGGATGATGTGGTTTACGTGAAGGATATGAAGTATGTAGTATGTACGAGGATACGGCTTCTGGAAGGAAAGGATATGGTTTTCTAAAAAAATGTATGAATTCTAGATAGAGATGTTTTCCTTGCTGAGTGCAGTGCAGTGCAGTGCAGTGCCTGCATGCACACTCCTCCCCCACTCTCTCGTTCCCAACTTCTCCCACTCGTCGCCATGTTAGATTGGATTCCACCGAAGGATCCTTCTTTGCATTACCCAAGGCACAGTGCATCTGACAACACTCGAACCCCCGCTTCCTCTTCCTTCCAAACCAATAACCTCCAACCAGCCCGCCCCTCTATCCCTCCTCACCCTCCAATCTCCCCCTGTTCCCGCCACACCCTGTTCCCGCTGCACCCTGTCTCGCCATGCCACCATCCTTCCCTGGGCGACCAGTGACATCAACGGCACGGGTCTCACATGCCCGGCCCCTGGCACCAGCTGCATTGTGCCGCAGAACCGCTCCTCCGCTTTCTGTTCAGTGTGCCGAGCCTTCTGCTCCGCCTGTATTTCACCTTCTCCCTCGCCTCCGCCCTCTCCTCCCGGTGAGTTTCCTTTTTTTTTTTTTTTTTTTTTTTTTTTTTTGCAAGGCGCTCGCTTCTAGGCAAGGGGTTTTTTATTGTTTGTTTGTTTGTTATTCCTGTAGTGAGTGTGCTAAGTTTCTCTAATCTCGTGCCTTGTATCTGTAATATATTCTCATGTGTCTTGTTAACCCTCCCTCTCTTTCCATCCCCTCCCTCCTTTCCCCCCTTCTCCCCTCCCTCCCCCTCTCCACATCCACCTGGCACACACCGCACCACGCACCTCTCCATCGTCCACCACACCCGCCAGCACCTCCCGTCGATTCCCCTCCTCCCGCCAGTCAGCCGGGCCTACCCACAGGCGCCATCATCGGCATTGCAGTGGCGGGGGGACTCCTGCTGCTTGCCCTTGCTGCTGCCGCTCTCTGGATCTGGCACACGCGGAATCGGGAAGAGCCTCACAAGCAACACAGTGAGATGCTCCTGTCCCAAGCTGCAACAAGATGCTTTGTTCCTGACTGCCCTAAAGCAACAGCAAATTACTGCAGTTGCATGCTGCATCATACCACTCAATATTCTCCTCCCAAAGATCCTTCCGTCCACCTGCCTCGACGCCTTGCACACACACACACACACACACACACACACACACACACACACACACACACACACACACACGCATCCACACACACACCTCGTACTCATCCTTCCACTCCATCAGCCTACACCATTCCCCTCAACTTCCGTCATCATCAACCCCCGCCTTCCCCCTCCTGCTCTTCTCCCACCGCGTCCCCTCTCTCCCTACCCTCCCCATCCCATGGTAACAAGGTGACGTTTGAGTTGAGTCGACTCAAAAGTCCTCTCCTGCTCTTCTCCATCACCTGCGTCCCGTTTTGAGGCGCCTCAAAACTAGACTTCTCCATCACCTGCGTCCCCTCTCTCCCTACCCTCCCCATCCCAGAGCAAGCATCCCCTCTAACCCGCAAGTACAGCCTAGCCTAGTCCCGCCCATGTGCCAGCAGCAGTTCTCACAGGAAAAAGCCTTTCAGGCGCCTCAAAAGTCATCACCCTGCCACTCTCTCCCCGCCCTCTTGCTCCTCCCTGCTCCCTCCCCCCCTGCCCCTCCACCCCCCCGCCCACCCCATCTCAGGGCAAGCATCTCGGCTGATCCGCAAGTACAGCCTAGTGCCGCCCATGTGCCAGCAGTTCTCCCTGGGGGACATGGAGCAGGCCACCAACAACTGGGCGGAGGCCAACCTGCTGGGGTCGGGGGGCTTTGGAGACGTCTTCAAGGGCGTGTCGCCCCTCGATGGCACCACGCTGTGGGCTGTCAAGCGCGCCAAGCTTCTCACCAATGACTTTGACCGCGAGGTGTGCATTTGCTGTAATCTGCAATTCTCCCTCCTCCCTCTTCTCCCCCCTCCCCCCCCCCCCGCGCCACCCTCTCCCGGTTGTGTTCTGTTTTTTGCTTCTTGATGTTGGTCTTCTTCGTTTGACTTGGTTCGCGTGCCTGTTCGTTAATCTTATGAGTCCTTCCTTTTCCGAACCATGTTGCTTCCTTCCCCTCCCACAGTCCATCTCCTATATTTGCTCTATGCCCCCCCTCTCCCTCTGCACTGCTACCTCATCCCTCCTTACTTCTCACCCCACCCTTCCCCACCCACCAGGTGACTCAGATGGCCACAAAGCACCATCCCAACCTGGTGCGGCTGCTGGGGTTCTGCATAGACGTGGAGCCAGAGACAGCGCACGTGGAGCAGATCCTCGTCTACGAGTTCGTGCCCAACGGGGACCTCGAGAAGAGGATGGCGCCAGGTGCAGACATACACCGCTCTTAACCGCTCTCAGTCGCCTCTTTTCCATATTCCTTTCTTCTAGGAGTTGATCTCTCACGTGCTTTCGCGATCTCTTTCTCCTTCCGTCTTCCTCCCATTGCTTCCTCGAGACCTTTGCGGCTCTCCCCCCTGCGCAGCCTCTTGCCGTCCTGCTCTCATCCTCGAGCATCGCAGCGTCTGCTTGCATTGCTCATTGTGCTTTCATGCCCACTGCTTTTCATCGTGCTTTGTACCGCGTTGCTCTGCAGACGCGGCCACGCCTCTGACCCTGCAGCAGCGGCTGGAGGTTCTCTTGGGAGCGGCTCACGGGTTGGAGTATCTACACAGCTTCAACATGGTTCATCGCGACATCAAGCCCGCCAACATCCTGCTCGACGCAAATATGCAGGTAGGTACCTCGAATCGAAGCAGCTCTACCTCTCATCCTCACGTTCCTCGCATGTCACAGCAATGCGGTCTTGAGCCACGCTGATACTATATTCAAACTGGTGAAATCAATCGAACCGAACCTTGTCGGACCATATTCGTTCTGACAAACCTCCCTCCCTACCTCGTATGATCGTGTGCGTGCCGCATGGTCACAGCCCAAGATTGCAGACTTTGGCTTGCTGCGCGTGGGAGAAGGCACCACTGTGCAAGCCACACGAGTGATGGGCACGCCGGGCTATGTGGACCCGGCTTATGCTCGCACACAGAAGGCAACTCCTGCCACTGATGTGTACAGGTGCTGATGTGTACAGGTGCTGATGTGTACAGGTGCTGATGTGTACAGGTGCTAATGTGAACAGGTGCTGATGTGAACAGGTGCTGATGTGTACAGATGCTGACGTGTACTGGTGCTCATCTGTACAGGTGCTGATGTGTGCAGGGTGCTGATGTGAACACGTTCTGATGTGTGCAGGTTCTGATGTGTGCAGATGCCGATGTGTAGTGGTTCACACAAACTTCTCATTCCTGTCTTTTTGAAGTGCATCAGCAGCATTTTCTACCTCGCATCATGTTGCAACAAGTCTTCGAGCTTAACCCGGAGTCCCCTTGACGCAGGCTGTGTGGCTGTGTGATTGTTGAAACGAGAAGTCCCAATGCTCGAATCACGACATTTGCATCCATATATGAAGCTGCGTCGCCTCTCGTTAAACCATGATACCTGAATCTCTCGGTTCGTTCTCTGCATGCAGCTTTGGAGTGCTCATGTTGATGGTGACAACGGGCCGTGACGTCACATTCTATGACAAGGGCAAGTCTGTGAACATCGCCCAATGGGTGAGTGGATGCATGAGCATCTGCTACTTTCCTGTACTTGTGTTTCTCTTCCTCGTTTCGACATCTACGCTTAATGTAGGTCATTGACGTGCTAATTTCTGCGGTGTATGCTTTTCATGCAAGGCACACTGTTGCAGAATCAGCTGGCCCATCAATCATAGCATTTCTTCCACGCCGCAAGCATCGTAATTTTTGTTTGCGTCTACCATTCTCCCCCCTGATTCAACTCGATCCACCTGGTCATCCAACCACCTCCAATACCCTCTCATCATCCCTTCCTGTCGTCACTCTCCCAATTGCATCCCGTTCCACTCCACTTACCGGACCATCCAGGTGAAAGAGCAGATTGGGAGAAACGAGGTAGCGGTTCTGAAGGACCCTCGCATGGATGCTTCAGAGGAGATTATCATGCGCATCACACAGCTGGCTGTCCGCTGCACTGCGAAGCGCACAGCAAACAGGCCCAGCATGACTGACATTGCCACCGAGCTGCAGACCATTTTGGTTGCATTGGGCGGCCCAACGTCGAGAGTGTTCCGGGCGGCGGAGCAGGTGGATGCGCAGCTTGACGGTGCCAACTCCAATAGGATGGACCTGGATGAGGCCTTTTCGATGATTGACAGCATGAATGAGCATGTGCGGGAGATGAAGAAGTCCGAGGATGTGTAATTTGGATTGGATATAGATGACTCACTGTGGTATACAAAGTCCTTCAAGAGTGTTTTGCTCAGCATTTTTGCCACTGTTGCCTAGATTCGTGAGTGAGTGATCATTCTTAGTTTTACCATTACAGGTAGAACCTGTTCAGCAGTCAAAAGGATTTACGTCTGCTGCATTGCATTGTTCTGAACGGGTATTCAGTGGAAAGGTGTGCATCTGTTGTGACATAGCAGGAAAATGAAGAGGTTATTAGTGGAGCATTTTGCTTGGCGCGAACTGAACTGAATTGATTGGGCGAATCGCAGCGCAGGTGCGGATTTCGGTGTGCTGGAGGCGAGTCAGCATGCCACCAACGATAACTGTACACTCACACCTGGTTGACATAACGAAGTGCCTAACGCCCACAGAGAGTGCGCTGTGCCTATAACGGAATGACATCGTATTCGCAGATACACTGTTGACTGTAGCGTTTGGGTCGGATGGTTTGGTGGTTCGTTGGTACACGAAGTTACGATTTCTTGCAAATTTGCTGCCGAGAGAACAACATCGGTGTCGCATCGCACTGTCACCAACCTCCAAGCATTTCCCAAGGTCACCATACACAGAACCAACCACTCCCCCATTACTTTTCTCCCCTCCACCACTACATCAACCACATACTGGCCACATTTTATCACTTGCCTGCATCCGTCTCACAAGAAAGTTACCATAGGCGTAGCCGAAACGGACAAACTTCATCGTCGCAAGGCAGCATGGTGTCCGCCGCAGCAGCCGCGCGGCTACGAGTCCTGACGTCGCAACCAGGCAACAAGGTCTGCGTTGACTGCAGTCAGCGCAACCCGCAATGGGCCTCCGTCTCCTACGGCATCTTCATGTGCCTCGAGTGCTCCGGTCGGCACCGCGGGCTGGGAGTGCACCTGAGTTTCGTGCGATCCGTCACCATGGATTCCTGGTCCGAGATCCAGCTGCGAAAAATGGAGGTCGGCGGTAATGACGCGCTGAATTATTTCTTCGCGCACAACGGCGTGCCTAAGGACACCGACATCTCGATTAAGTACAGCTCGCCCGTCGCCGAAGCGTATCGCGGGAAGATCCAGGCGGCGGCGGAGGGAACAGGCCCGCCGCCTAACGCGAACATCGCGGGCGCATCACCCGCTCGCGCTCCCCCTCCTGCTGCTGCTTCTGCAGGAGCTGGGGGGGCGTCGTCAGCAGGAGGGTTCGGATCAAACGACAGCTGGGCAAACTGGGGGGATGGCGAGAGCGGCGGAGTCGGATCCGCGCATTCCAGCCCCGCGAACGCGCACGCGACAGCGGCGGCCCAGGGGAACATGCGCAGGCACCAGTCGGAAAACAGCATGTATGGATCTGCCGGGGGGGGCGGCGCAGGGGCGCAGTGGGAGGGCGGAAGAGGCGGGGAGACCAGGCCCGGCGGCGGAGGTGGAGGGGGGAGTAAGCGGGGAGGAGCGATGGGACAGCATACAGGGTCAGCATCGGACGTGTATTCTAAAGAGCAGCTGGAGGCGTCGGCGGCGGACAAGGACAATTTCTTTGCGCGCAAGCTGGCGGAGAATTCGCGGCGGCCTGACGGGGTTCCGCCGAGCCAGGGCGGCAAGTACGTGGGATTCGGGAGCACGCCGAGTCGCGCGCCGAGCAAGCCGAGCGCGGGAGATGACGTGCTTGAGGACTCGATCAAGGCGGTCTCGGAGGTGAGTGATTGCTTGGGAAAGGGTAGCGTGGTGGGCACTGTTTTGAACGAGTTCCGAGTGTTAAGCCGAGCGCGGGAGACGACGTGGTGGAGGACTCGATCTAGGCGGTCTCGGAGGTGAGTGATCAAAGTAAGTGGGGACGGGGAGCGGGGCGGAAACCAAAAGTAAGCGGGAAGAAATCAAGGATGGGAGTTAAATTAAAGCGTGTAGAATAGTATGTCTCAGGAGTGTGAGAGTCAGTTTCAAAGTAGCAAGTATGGCTCTGCGGGATGGTCGGAGGTTGGAATGGTGAGAAGATGTGGGCGTGGGTGGCTGTTGTTGTTAGGCCAGAATGGTGTGGCATGGGGCTGCATGGGCCGGGGCAGCATGGGGTGGCATGGGGCTGCATGTGCTTTCCTTGGGAAAGCATAGGGGGCATGCGGTGCAAGACTAGACCATGTTGCTGTCACGTGTGAGCAGCGAGAGGATGGAAGTGAGCAGCCGGTTGATGGTGCAGGGGTTCGAGTTGCCACCTACTTAAAACCCAGGGTCCACAGGTTTCAAAGGTAGGAAGGTTGGTTGGACTTAGTCACAAAACCAAAAATAGGAAGCTTGGTTGGACTTTGTGACCCAACCAAAGGTAGGAAGGATGAGGCAACTACGGGAACCTTGAGACTCCGGTTTTAAACACACAAACAGATCCAGCGAAAGTAAGCTATAACCACCTGATTCTCCTTTGCACAAGGTAGCCTGCTGGAATGTACACCGATGGTGCCTGGAGCCCCTGTTGTGTACGAAGAAAAAGCAATGCGCGCGCGCCAAAAAACAAAGAGCAATGCCACACTGGTGCCTGTAGCTTGGTCTCTCGCATCTCAAAAGTACAGCAACACCAACCCGTTTTACACCCAACGTCTTCCACTTCGCTCCCCCTTGTTCCGTGCCGCTTCCAAACCCACTCTACCTGCCCACCGTCCTACCAGGGCTTCCGATCCATCTCCATGGTTGCCATTGGCGCAGCCAGCTCTGCAGCGGCTGTGGTGCAAGAAAAGGTACGGCGCGATGTTGCTAGTAGGGTGGTCTGGTGGGGGAAGAGGGGGGAGGGGGCTTTCAGAGTATGCACGAGGATTTGATTGTGGCGCAAATCCTATTCCAACAAGTTGTTCAAACCACCTCTCCCCCACACGACCTCACCCATGACCCCGTACACCCCTCTGCGTAATCATCCCGTCCTCGCGACCTCCGCCTGCATGCGTGCACCCCCACCATCAGATGCGCGAGGGCGGGTACGACCAGAAGGCCAAGGAGACGGCCACAGTGGTAGCAAGCCGCACTGCGGAGCTAAGCCAGAAGGCATGGGGCTTCATGCGCTCTGTCACTGAGAAGGCTGTGGAGGCTGTGGAAGGCGGGTTAGGAGGTGGCCTTGGGGGCCCAGGCATTGGCGGCGGTGGAGGGTTTGGGGGAATGGGCAGCAGCAGGGGCATGGGTGGTGGTGGCAGGGGCGGTGGTGGCAGTTTTGGTAAACCGTACACATATGGTAGTGATGGGAGTGATAGTGCTGGTGGTGGGCGAGGAGGGGGAGGGGGGGGGCGGCGGATATGATGCCGATGTGTACACCTACAGTGCAAGCAGCAGCAACGGGTATGGCGGCTCTGAGTCAACTCAAGAGAAGAAACCGAGTGAAGGTATTAGTAGTGGTGGTAGCAAAGGATTTGCCAAGTTTGATGACAGTGCTCTGAAAGGCGGTGAGGGCTTTGGTGACTGGGATGACTGGAAAGATGATGGTGGTGACAATGATATAAGTGGAGGAGGTAAAGGAGGACACAGGGAAAGTGGGTCATCAGCACCAAAGCCTGCTGCAGTTCCTGTGAAGAAATTCTCCATCTCTGCTGCAGCCCCTGCGCCTGCCGCTATACCAGTATCAGGGCTTGTGCCCCCACCTGTGAAACCACCTGGCGCTGCAGCCCCCTCTGCTGCATACGCAAAGCCCTCCCAATCTTCCTTCGAGGCCTCGCTGATTTCCTTTGACGATGGACCGTCAGCTCCTTCAGCGGCACACACGGCTCCTATGTCTTCTGCGGTGGACCCCTTAGCAGCTCTCATGGGAGGCAGCGCTCCTGGTACGGGCATGGGCAGTGGGTTTGGAGCATCTGGATCAGCTGCAGGTGGCGGTGCAGCGTGGAATGGATTTGATGCCTTTTCCTCAGGTCCCCCTGCTGCTGCCGATCCTTGGCAGGGGGCTGGATTCCAGTCCGCCCCTCCTGCTGGAGTCTCGGCTTCAAAGCCGGCACAAGATGATGACTTTGAGTGGGGTGGGTTCCAGTAAGTGTCTGATGTTTACATGTTTGTATAGTAGTGTGTCATTGTGTTGGCTAGGAAGTCACAGCACTAGTCTTCTTACATTGGATAGCAGAATCAACAGTAAATTGGCTTCTGAACTAAATTAGCAGGGTGTTGTGCACATCCAAGCGGGTCTTACAACTGACAATTACTGTTGGAAACAATCGATCTTAAGTGCCTTTGTCGTGTCGAAACACTAAGGCATAAACGAAGCAAAGCATATCGAAGCACCGGCGAGTCAACCCTCGGAGGTTGAAAGTAACTGTTGGAGGTTACGCGAAAGTCAAAAGACTTTTGACCTGACCAAGTACAACGCGACATCAAGGACACACAACTGACTCGCTACATAGCAGTTGCCCGATTCGTCACTGTATCGAACCGCAACAGCAACAGCAAAACAGTTATAACTGTACCTCTTCATATTCCTTGTACTCTTATATATATTCTTGTATCTGTTTGTTTTAATCAATCTACTTTGCCCTCACATACTAGCGCAAGGTGGTTCAACTACTTCATTAAAGCTTTCGCTGTTACATCAGTCCTACCCAGAGTTCACCCCTGCAAAGATCCTAAGGCCTATTTCTCAGCCCAACATGGTATGAGAGCAGTCAGGGAGAATTCAACTATTAAGATACCGACAACATCAACAGGCATGGCTACACAAAAGGAAAGGAGCTCCTCCAACGGCTCCCAGGGCACTACTCCTACTCCACCTCCTGCCTCTGGCCTACAGACAGAGGAGGGTACGGCAACAAGACCCAGGGCAACATCCATCGAGACTCCTACAAATCAACCTGCAGACTTCGACCAGAGCATGATGGAGAAATTCTTCTCCTTCATGTCCTTCTACGAGCAACACCAGCAATCGGCACCTGCGCAGTCACACAATAGCAACAACAACGGAGCAACTCCCATGAGTCTCGACGGCTCATCATACGCACGAGGAAATCAACAGCAGCAGCCTACCTTTGCTCCGTACGAGCGCGGGTCCATCAGCTTTATGCCACACCCGCAGTCTTCACCTGGACAAGAAAAGTCACTGGACGCATTACAAGTTCAGTCGTAGTTCGCGAACGTTCTGAAGATGCAGACGTCAAGACCTTTCGATGGAAAGGATTTCTTCACCTGGTCGTTTCAATTTGAGTTAATGATGGAAGGCGCGCAGATACTTGGCTTCTTCGACGGGTCCCTGCCATACCCAACGAACGGCACACAGTATGAGAAGCAGTAGTATACCTATCAGTCGATGATGGCGTACATGATTCTACTAAGAAACATCACCCCGACTCAACAGCAGAATATACGGTCTTACCGGGGTTACGGCAACTCCGCGGAGCTCGCATACAACCACTTGAAGAGCCTGTATCAAGCAACAGACAGCGTAAATCAAAGTCGGTTAATGGCGCAACTGACAACGGTCGAAATGAAACCAAGCAAGAAAGGAATGGCGTATATCAGCCGATGTTGCGAGTTGCGCGACAAGCTTCTTCGATGCGGAGGGTCGATTTCTGAAGACACCTTCATGACAGTTATCATTGGCGGCCTCGGTCCTCAATGGCGCGCCACAAAGGCCATTCTCCGAGCCCACGGAAGAATCTTCGAAGCAGCACTCTGCGCTGAAATCCATGCCGAGCAATAAGACATGGACCTGCAAGAAGAGCGACACAAGAAGAAGACATCAGCACCGGAATTTGCATTTCACACTCAGCGACGCTACAACAACAACAGCGCGTACCTCCGTTCTGCCACATCTACAAGACGTCAGGGCACCCGTGCACGCACTGCCCGAATCGACAACAGTCAACGCCTTCACAGCGGCAGTTTCGACCTTCAAGCAATCAAGTCGCCTCAACACAAGCAAATCCTACGACCCAGACTAAAGCCTCAACGACCTCAACAGGACAACCTGCACAAGGAGCAAGTAACATCGTCAGTTGCATGGCAAGACTGAGCGACTCTTGCATCACGGGATCACCACCGTAATACTCACCGGAAGAACAACTCGACGACACAACACCTCACCGCGATTCACTCCAGCCGAATTTGACATACGCAGCCATCGCCCAAAGCGAGCCATCCGGAAAGGACACGTGGTTCTTGGACAGTTGCTGCGGACAACACATGTGCTCTTCAGGACGCTTCGTGCAACGAGAGTACCAACTCCAACGTGAAGTAGTCATCACCGTCGCCAACAACGAAAGCCTGCGCACACGACGACAAGGAATCGTTCAACTTCAGTCACGAGAGACAAACGTCATACTACAAATGTCCAAGGTCTTAATTGCAGAAGGCATCGGCTACAACTTACTCAGCGTTAGCCAACTAATGGCTAAAGGTATCCACCTTGAAGCAGACAACACCACTCAGGAGTTCAAGATGTACCACGGGAAGGGCGGTCTGTACATCGGAGAGGCGATCCTGAAAAATAACGTCTTCGTTCTTGATTTTGTTCCAGATCTCGGTACAGCAGACAGCGACGGCATCGTCACCTTCACTTCCTGGACCCACCCTCCAGACCTTGATCCAAACTTCAGCCCCGGCGGCTTCTGGTATTCACACACCATCCCTGAGGCAGAAAGAACAAGGGCGTTAGCAACAATTCAAACAACATCGGCAGCAGCAGAGACAACATCGGCAGCAACAGAAACAACATCGGCAGCAGCAGAGACATCAACGGCAGCAGCAGGAACGTCAACGCCAGTCGCTGGTCCTTCAACGGCACCACTCCTCGTCGATGACACACCACTGACACTCGCGCAACAACTACACCCAGCACCACGAGAAGTTCATCGAAGCGCCAACTTCACGGCCAGCTTCTATTCCAACTCCGATATGTATCGGCGCTCACCCGGACATCGCGCACCGAAGGAACCTGGCACGCAAGAATGGGACACCCAAGCAACACGGTGTTAAACAACACGATAAGAGCAGGCGTGCTCGATAAAGACTCTCTACTCCTAACTGACGGCAGAGAACTTCAGCGAGCTCGAGGAACATGTTTCACCTGTCCCGAAGCTGACTTACCGCATCAATCGTTCGCGTCTCACCACAACCCAAGCGCACCAGCTTACGCGCCACTCGAGAAGGTGTACAGCGACATCTTGTACAACCGCGAACCTGGACAAAACGCGTACAACTACACCATCACCTTCATCGACGCCGCCACACGATACGTCTGGCATCTAAACCTTCCGAGCAAAGACATGGCCTTCAAAGCCTTCGTCGCGTGGCTCCCAGTAGCAGAGCGAGAATCGGGCGTCAAACTGAAGAGCTTCCAGTCAGACGGGAGAGGAGAATATACCTCACAGAGGTTCAAGCAGTACTTGGCTGAAAGAGGAATCAAGCGGCTCATCTCCCTTCCCTACGCCCATCAACAGCAAGGTGTAGCAGAAAGGATGAACAGGACCCTCCAGAACACCATGCGCAAGCTGCTACGTGGCATGCACCTGCCCAACCACCAGTGGCTCGAAGCAATGGACCACGCCGTCATGCTGCACAACTTTCTCTCGTCATCATCGCTCCCGAACAACGCATCACCGCACCTGCTGTGGACAGGAAAACTGGGCAGCACAAAAATGTTAAGGGTCTTCGGCTACATGGTACAGTACCGGCCCCCATCTGCACGAGCGTGCTGATTCTCCCAACACGCACAGTGGGGGCTATACCTTGGCATCGAAAAGCATTACAAGGCATGGAAAATTTTCGACGTCGAGACAAAAGAGACAGTGGCAGCACGTGATGTCATCTTCTACGAGAACCTCACCCACCGGTATCACCTTGCCAACTTGCAAGAAGAAAACCCGGACCGCTCCACTGGTTTTCAAGGCACCCGAGCCTTCGCCTCGGCAGACGACGAAGCTGACTGGGACGAGCAGAACGTGGAAGGAGCCTTGGAAGAAGCCGGACCCCTCCCCTACTGCTCCGTCGACGTGCGAATGGACGACGAAAACCCACGCGAAAGCATCAACGCCGAAGCCTATTACCATTTCGCTGACAACGGTTACGTTACACCTGCACAAGTCAGCACCGACGAAGCAGAACGCGTAGGACCTAATTTCGCAGCTGATCCAGAAGCAGGAGACGAAGCAGTTTATCCCGAGGATACTTCACTCCCCCGCTGCACACAGAGTGGACTCCAAATCCTTGGTCTCGTCACCGCAATTCATGGCACAGCCATTCCTAAAGAGCCTGCGACAGTTCAACAGGCTCTGGGGGGGGAACATAAGGAAAAATGGCGCGAAGCCATGGACAGGGAGCTAAAGGCACTAGAGGAACGCAACACCTGGAAGGTCGTCCCTATCAGCATAGCACGGAACAAAACAGTACTCACCGGAAAGTGGGTCTTCCGTCTGAAGACAAAGGCTGACGGCACCATCGACAAGTTTAAAGCTCGTTGGGTCGTACGCGGCTTCGACCAAGAACACGGACGCGACTTCACCGAAACTTTCGCTCCGGTCAGTCGACACACTTCGCTCCGAATCCTCCTCGCGATCGCCGCCATGAAGAAGAAGAAGCTGCGGCGAATCGACGTCGCAAACGCATTCCTCTACGCACCTGTTGACGCAGAATTCTTCGTCGAATTACCGCACGGCTCCAACGATGAGCCCAATCAAGTCTGTCAGCTGCTGAAGTCGCTCTACGGCATTAAGCAAGCTCCGCCGCTATGGCAACAATACCTGTACGCTCGCCTCATTCGCATCGGCTTCAAACAACTACCGCACGATCAGGGCATGTACCGGCTCACGAAGAACACCGACTACATCCAGTTGATCGTCTACGTAGACGATCTACTCTACAACGGCTCGACCGACAACATCACAACCTGGTTCGAAGGGGAGCTACAAAAGGACCTCACGCTCACGGTCTCATCTACCGTCACACAATTCCTCGGTCTCAGCATCCAAGAAGAGGAAGACGTGATCCACCTCAGTGCCGCGAAATACGCAGACACCATCGCCAAGCGCTTCGTATCAGAACTTATAGCTT